ATTCCATTCCATTCCATTCCATTCCATTCCATTCCATTCCTTATTCCATTCCACTCTACTCCACTCCACTCTATTGTACCCTATGACTATTACTAATTGTTGTAGCTGATGATTCTCGACTCTTGATGAATGTATCATTTCTTTTATGTACACTGAGAGCATTTGCACCAAGACAAATTCCTTGTGTGTCCAATCACCCTTGGCCAAGAAAGAACTCTATTTTACTATTCTATTCTATGAGGTGGAGAGACAGAGCTTAAACATCTTCCTTCCTTTCTTTTCTTTTAGAAAGGGGCTTTGCATTTTGCATAATTCAGGCTAACAGTTCTTAGATTTATTAATGGGTTCAGCCTGTAATGAACAAGAGGAGCTTGGCTGGGATTGAACTTGCACCTCTCTTTTCTTTCCACAGTCCTTAATATTCGATGAGGTTGACCTCTCAGATGCCAGCGTGGCTGAATCGAGCACCAAAAACGTCAACAACAGCTTCACGGTAGGTGACCTGCTTATTGAGGGCTCCTAAGAAGCCACCGAAAGCTTTGAAAATTTGATTTTTGCTCCAAGAACAGGGAGAAGAAGTAAAGAAAAAGTCAATTGAATAATCTATTGGAACAATATATTGTATTTTGTCTGAGTTTATAACTCAATGCCAATGTTAAATGGAATAATATATTGCAATGAAAAGGAGCAATGAGAGTTGCATGGCTTACGGGGGAGGAAAGGGCCCTGATTCCCTTCATTAGCTGCAGCTAGGAACACAGTGTTTAAAAAGGGATTTTTTGCACAGCTAGTTGTTGGAAGCCAATTGTGTGTTATCTTGTTTTGTCGAGGCTTATCTGGGGTCCTAGGGTCTTACCAACTGTGTGTGTTTTGTTGGCCTTTCAAGTCTGCAATTCCTTTTCCTGCCCCGTCCAGTTAATTGCTGCAGCGTGGTTTGTGTGGATTTTTAGTTACGGTTTAGTTACAGTTTGTATGTACTTTGTTTTTTCGGACTGAATTTCCTCCGCTTAAAGACTGTTCTTGGGAGAGTTTTCTTTTTTTTCCTCCAGCCAAAGGTAACCTGGACTTTGGGGGCCAAGTCGGAGGTACTAAAGGGACTTTTCTTACTGATGTGACTGTGTTGCCTTTGTGCCACGCCCTGGATCGCCACGCTATTCTTGTTCCTAATATTCTGGCTAGCGGTTTAAGGTGCTAACTTCTGCCTCGCTAAGAATGCGCATTTTCAACCCCTTTCCTATTGCAGAGCTGCTCAAAGCTGCACCCCCCCACTCCCCGCGACCCCCCTCTCCTCCCACAGAGAAAAGTAAAAGCAGTTTTAAATCTTTGTTTGGGGCAGCCCCCCCCCCGCGACCCTCCCTCCTTCTGTAGAGAGGGAGAAGACAGAAAGGAGTAAGGCTGCTTAAGGCACAAAAATGAAGAGAAAACGTTTCTTAAAAAATCAGAATTCATATTCCTCGCTCTTGTGTCCATTCCATCCATAGCTGGGGTCCTATCTCCACATATGACCCTTCCTCTGACCCCCACCCCACCCCAGGGCCTCCTCTGTACATACATACCATCCTTTGATCCTTCGCAGCCATTCAGGTGTTTGGTTTGGAAAGAAGCCACACCAACCCTTCGTCTCTCGGCGCACCCACTCTTTATCGCCCGAAATCTAGCCCTGTCCTCGGTTAAATATTGGATTTCTGAAAACCATAGCCCCTTTCCCCCCCACCACCTCGTTTGGCATCAGTGGAAGAGGGCCGTTTCACCTGTCCCATTGAAGTACAGCCGTTCTGTTCTTACCTCGATCAGATAACGCGACAAATCACCCGGCTGGTCTTTACGAAGAAAGTCCTGTTTTCGCTGACGGACATTCTGGTTTCTATCGCTTTGGATTGGTTTGACTCTGAGAAAAAAG